TATTAACACATGCCTAGAAATTAGTTGCGGCTATTGGTCCAATGAGTGGTGATTCATCTCACTAATTTTTGGACCATTAATAGCTCTAATGAGCTTTAAAAAAAAAAAAAAACCAAACTCAAGCCAAAATATCACATTACTTTGGTGGGGGCCACTGTGCCACATTATTAGTGATGCTCTAGAGCTCCCAATTTAGTGCTCTAAAACATTATTCTTGGTCCAATAGTCCAACTTGATATTTTTATAATTTGAAAAAAAATATTTAATTCATAAGATCAGGTTAGACAATGTTTTTGAACCTATTTAATTTTTTAATTGAGTTTGAGATAATGAGTTTTAGCTTAATCCAGTTCAACCAATTCGTTTAGAAAATATTAATATTAATTTTTATATTATTTAGTTACAAAATAAATTTTAAAAATAATATATATATACTTCTTTTTAAAATTTAAATTAAATTATATTTATTTTATAATTGAATTTTATTAATATTTTAAATTTAAATAGTTATTAAAAAGGTTTAAATAATTTAACAGACGGAAAAAAAATAGTTCATATCCATTGATTTAAGTAGGCGGGCTTGAGATTCAAATATTTTTTGAAAACCAAACTTGCGATGATTAAATTAGGCTTGATATTTAGTTGGATCAAGTCAAACTTGAGATAACACATATACTTTTATTATATAGTGTTAACCTGACCCACTCCATTCAATCTAATATTTGTCCACCACTGGTTGGTTTGGGATGTTTTAAAAAAGTATACTTTTTGACTTTTTGACTTATATGGGTTGGGTTTGATGTGATGTGTTAGAGAGGTGATGTGATTTAAATAAGATGATGTGACTTAAATAAGATAATGACTTTTTGACTTTTTGTATTATTTAGTAGATGCCAAACTAACCCCTCCCAAAAAAATAATAATAATTAAAAATAAAAAATAAAAATCAATTCAACAAATAAACAGAAAATAAGGAAAAATAATCAAAATTTATCATCTGATCTTATGTATCATTAAACAAAAATGTTTCATGCCCCCTTTTCCCCCACCCCCTTTGACCTCCTCTCTCTCTCTCATTGGTTACATTTTCTTTTTCTTTTTTCTTTTTTTCCTCTCCTCCAATCACCACCCGCCACGTGTCTGTGGGGGGGGTTGTGGGGGTGGTGATTAGAGGGGGTCTCTATCATGACTCATCATTAAAATATAAAATAATGAATTTTACACTTTAACTTTTATACTAATACTTTCGTAATGCATTCCAAGAAGTGATTTGGAGAGAGGGGTTCTTTGGAATGACCTAAATAAGTGTATTTTTTGTCTTTTTATAAAAAGATGTGCAGAAAAGTAAAGAGGTGATGTGATAAAAAAAAGATAAAAAGATAGATTATTTTAGGATTGCCAAACTTGGCCAGAGTGACATTGATATATTTTCATAATTAAATGACCAAAATATATAAATTTATAGATGTAGGATACTAATAGTTGAGGGGACTGATGTAATTAACCTTATTTACAATTAAAATTTGATACTAGGGGTTGTTTGAGAAGTATTAGATTAGTATATTTTTTAATTTTTTACGAAAAAACGTGAAATATAAGTTAAATTTGAAATAATACAGTATAGAGATGATGCGACCCAAATAAAATAATTGCAACCAAATAAGATAATGTGTTAAAATAATATATACTATTTTAACACATGCCAAACAAAACCTAAAATATAGAACCATCATATCAATTATTATTCTCAAATAATTTTGAATTTAGACTTTTTGGTTATAGTTAACCAAACTAATTTATTAAGAAAAAAATATTTGAATAAAAAAACTTAGTTCATTTAACTCATTTATGGTCAAAATAAATATATTTTAGCCCTTGTTTGGGAAGGACTAAAGTGTCTAAATTAGCATAAAAATATAAAATAGATTAATTTAGCTAATAAGATAAAATGTCATATTCAAATCATAATCATTTCTTTTTCTTTTCAGAGTCATCACATTTAAACAAAAAAAACCAAAACTTCTTGTCAAATAGAGCTAATTTAGCCATGCTAAATTAGTCAAAAGGTCAAGCTAAATTATTTTTTTTCCAAACAAAGGTTTAGGTCTCGTTTGGGAACAGAATATTTTAGTAACTTTTTTAAATTTTTATAAAAAGATGTGTAAAAAAATAAAAAAGATTGATGTGATAATTTATAGTGACTTTTTGATAACTAAAATTAAAGGTTATCAAACGAGTCCTTAGTTACTTTAAAAAGACATTAAAAATAAAAATTTATATATATAAACAAAAATAAATTTATTTTTTTAAAAAAATTGTAAATCAACGAAACAGTAAAGAATTATTTATATTTTCATAATGATATAATTTTACTGTGTATATATAGTGCAAATCCTCCATATACATGGTCCAAATTCTTCATACAAAAAAAATGAAGCAAGTTGCCAGTCATCACTATGTGTGTCAGAGTTGTTTTACAAAAAAAATTTCATCTATAATTTAATAATTTATCAACTATTCTGCTTATTTATAGTGGGTCTTTACGAAGTGAATTTTTATGTAAATTTTTTAGTTGTAAGAAATTATGAGATGAAAAATTTTTAGTATTTGAAAAAATAATTAAATTTTTTTTATAATTAAATGTGATATTTGTGAGAAAAAAATGAAATAATTATAAAATTAAATGTGATATTTTATTTAAATTCTTTTTTTTTATTTTATAAAAAATTTATCTTTTAATATAAAAAATCAAAAAAAACCCAACACACTAAACTTCCCACACACCACCATAATTTTCTCCAATGTTTTAATTCTTAATAATTTTATTTGTACTGTACTTTTGGAAACTAGTCGTAGGTTGTACTGAATTAATCTGATGTCACGTGTCACTCTGTCTCGACACGTGTCTTAGCGAGAGCAGATTCTTCGCATTCTTGCAACTAGCAAGCTGAACAACAATCTAATTATCTAAAATGCCCTTGCTTTTATGTAAAAATTACATGACCCATCCCAAGGAGTAAAGTAACTGAAGGGCACCGTCTGTGCAAAAGGAAAAAACATGGAGTCAATCTAAAGTCGTAACCGTCCATGATCTGTTTCCCAATGTCTCACCACTGTGCACTACATAGCTTTTGAATGAAAAATGTTTGACTGTCGCAAAAAGTATTGTTTAAATGGTTTAAAATTGTCACAATAATATCATTTTGTGTCGTTTTACGTTTAAAACAACGTCATTTTAACAATTTTAAGCTATTTGAACTACACTTTTTTGTGATCCTCTACCATTGCTCCTTTTGAATTTAGAGATAAATTGTAAAATAATAAAAAAAAATATGAAACTATTATTAGAATATTGGATCAAATCCTAATATCTAATCTATCACCTTTTATTATTAGGGTTAATTATATACATATATATTTTTGTAAGAAAAATAGGTGGGTGCTCGAAATTCGTGGGTCGAATTTGGGTCGAATTCGAAGAGGGAGAGAAGAGAGGAGAAGGAGAAGAGAGGGAGACAGCGGGTGCTGGTTCTGTCGACGCCGTCGCCTCGCCGTCCTCGTCGCAGCCCTCCTGTGCCTCCGCCGTGAGGAGCTCGTCGCCTCTGCCCGCTGTCCTCATCGCAGCTTCATAGCTCGTCGCCTCCGCCTCCAGCCCTAATATTTGGGCCCCTCCAGTCCTCTTCCTCCTCCCTCCTCATCCCTTCCTTTCTTCTTCTCCCTTCTCTTCTTCTTCTTCTTCGTTTCTGATTAAACACAGGAAAAATCGAAATTCGTGGGTCGAATTGGGCTCGACACCAAAACGACGTCGTTTTGGTGTCGAGCCCAATTCGACCCACGAATTTCGAGCTACCAACAGGGGTTGTTTTTGTAATTATATTTTTGATTTTAAAATATATTAATTATGTTATTTTAATTTCAAATATTAGAGCAGGGCAGTTGGCCTTGGCTGTTGTCTTTTGCTAGTGAAGGAATTAAGTAAAATTATGTTTGTTTTGTTAGTAATTGTTAATATGAGGTTTGTTAAATTATTACCCTATAAAAGAAATATAAATTATTAAAATAAATAAAATTATGATTTTTAATTAACAAAAAATTACAAAAATATTAAATATTAATGTTTAAAAAAATGCCTAATATGTAAATAAAAAATAAAAAAATTCTAATTCCATAGGACTAATTTCCTAATACTATCTTCACATTTTTCATCTCAATCCCAACACCAAGGCTCATCCTAATCTCATGAGATTATAAATCCCTTCTCCATATGCCAAAACAAACACAACATACAGTGGGTCTTACCTTCATCTCAATCCCAACTTCACCTCTATCTCCCAAAACAAATGGGTGATATTACTAACATCCTATTGTATTGTACAAAATAAAATAAAATAAAATAAAATAAAGAAAAAAATCTCTGATATTTAAATGATAAGTAAAATTATGTTTGTTTTGTTAGTAATTGTTAATATGAGGTTTGTTAAATTATTACCCTATAAAAGAAATATAAATTATTAAAATAAATAAAATTATGATTTTTACTTAACAAAAAATTATAAAAATATTAAATATTAATGTTTAAAAAAATGCCCAATATGTAAATAAAAAATAAAAAATAAAAAAATTCTAATTCCATAGGACTAATTTCCTAATACTATCTTCACATTTTTCATCTCAATCCCAACACCAAGGCTCATCCTAATCTCATGAGATTATTAGTATAATGATATTAGGTATAAAATGTAAAACAAATAAAATTGTTACACGAATTAAATTATTTGAACTTGACTTGTGTTTGACTAATTAAAAATTTAGTTAAAATTAATTAAAATTAAATTTATATATATTTTAAAATTTATTATATTTTTAAATCAAATTTAAATAACTTATTACATATTCTGATTTGTTTTGAAAAATTAATTTAAAAAATATATATATATATAATTAAAGATGTGATATAACCTAAAATACCTAAAATAAATTAAAAACTAAAAATACTCGATAAGTTTATATCTCGCTCTCCCTTTTGATTTAAATAAAATTTCTCTCTCTCTCTCTCTCTCTCTCTGTATCTCAGCTTCTGTGTCTCCGGCTAGACCTGTCGCCGGAATTCTTCTCCTGAGATTCTCCGACAATCGTTGTTCAAGTCAGTTTCAAAATTGTAAGCTCATCTGGACCCCTCTCTGTCTTTGTCTCTCTATTTTTTTTTTTTCCATTTTTATGCTGGGTCTATGGACCCCAGAATAGTTATGCTCTGTTCATGATATCTTCTTTAAATATTGTGGTTTACATAACCACATAAGCTCATAAAAATATTGGCTTACCTTTTGATTTCAGGTAAAAAATAAAAAATAAAAAATTGAAGAAACACAGAGAGAAGAACTGTGATTTCTACGTCTATATATATATGTATGTATGTATGTGAAGTGCTGATGTTTACTTTGTTTGTAGTTTAATGGGTGAAGAAGCAAACAGAGATTGGGTTTCTAAAGCCAGAAACTTTTTCCAAAAATCCACACTTCAAACCTCCAAATCTTCAGATTCAGTTCAATTGGACCTCAATTTAGGACTCTCTTTGGGTGGTTGTTACACCCAAGAAATCCCCAAAGAAAACCCACTAATTCGATCAGCTTCACTGAACCATGACTTGAATGCTCTGTTTGAGAATGAGGGTAGAGGGTTTCTCTCCCTCTCGAGATCGGCATCGATGCCGACGGAGGCAGAGCAAGAGGTGAGGAAGTTGAAGGAGTTTCAGGCCATGAAGAGAATGGCTGCCAAGAAGAGACTGGTGGAGAAGCACCGCCATAGCAGGGGAGGTGGTTCTGAGGAAGAGAAAGCTCCAGCGGAGGCTCAATTCTCCAATTGGGCCGTTGAATCGGCTTCGAATAATACCGCGTTGTGTCGAGCCATTGAGAAACTCAAATCCAATGCCAATACCAGTCCATCTCCCAAACTAACAATTCAAGGTGAAATTTGTGTTTTAACAACTCTATTTATTTATTAATATTTAGTAATAATTTTGAGTTTTTGTTCATCTATTTAGTTATTCTAGTTTGATTTCATGTTTTTTAAATTATTTGATATGTATGCCTTATTGCTAGAATGATGTAGAATTTAGCATTGCTAGATTGAATTTGTTGTTCATTAGATTCGAGTCTTACTGTTGCACTATGCACCTTTTTCTCATTTCTTCCTATTGATTTTAAAAAAGGAAGCGAATTTGATTTTGTATTAGATTCTAAGAATATTGAATTATAGGTTTGCTCGTAAATGTAATGAAATAAAAAGAACTAAGAGGAGAAAGATGTAGCAAACAGACATGAAATTTCTAGTGCCGCCTCAAGCATGTTTGGTTTGTGATTGTCCATCTAGCATGCCAATTGGTCAATATGAAAGATGTAGGCACTTCCATTTCCACTTAGTTAAATACTAGATTTGAAATTGTTAGATCACCATCTATCCCCACTTTTCCCTCATGTGCGATCCCATCTCACAAGTGGCAAGATAGTGCACAATAACAAAGATAACATGGGCGACAAGATGAGGGGGAAAATAAAAAAAAAATTTTATCTCCTTGAACAGGAGCTCCAATACCATGTTAGATCACCAATTGTCTCAAAAGCTTAAACTGTTAAGAAATGTGTCCAACAATGTATATCAAACTAACACAAATATGTTTGGAAAGTAGCAAATAGAAATAGCCAAACTTAGAAACTAAATTCAATTAGTTATTGAGAAAGAAAATCATCTCGTAGTCCCGTGGAAAATGCTAATATAAAGTTTAGCCCAAATTTGTCATCGTGGTTTTGGTATATCTTTTTCCGCAATTTTCTATCCATGTTCTTGTTTTTCCTTCTTTAACGGTTTGGAGTTGTTTCCATTCTGTGTCTTGGGTTGCAATCAATAATTTCTCTCAAGTTCAATTCTCATACAAAAACAACAGTACGAGTTTATCAACAAAACAATTCTAGACCTACATCTATTAAGAAGAAAATTTAAAACAACAGTACGAGTTTGTCAACAACGCAATTCTAGTCCTACATCTATTTAGAAGAAAATTTAAGCAACCCATAATTTCCATCTTCTTAATACAGATATTTAACATCAACAACAACAAATGTACGTGGATGCACTTTTTTTTTCTTTTTTTTTTCACATTTGATAGAAGATTTTCCTACTATTTTACTTAGACAGTGTTTGGTTAGGGGATTTAGAGAGAAATTTCAAAAGGGAAAGGGAAAAGGAAAAGTGTGTGAAATTAGGTGAAATGTAAGTATATTTTATTCACATTTTACATACCTTTTCCTTTTTCTTTTTCAAATCTCTTCCCAAATCTCCCAATCAAATACAACCTTAGTTTAGCTCAATCAAATGGTTAGTTTAAAATAGTCCTGTGTTTTAACTTTTTATTTTGATTACTTTCGATTAGTACTTTATCAATTAACTACAAATTCATTTCAGGTCTTGAAAATTCAGCTGCTGACAAAGTTCCTACCCTTTCTCACCCTCCAGTCGCCTCCAGAACGATGGAAAATGGAAAATCAGCCTATCGCTCCACACCGGCAGTCATATTTGAAAACATGATAAATAAAAAACAAGTCAATACCGCTAATTCTCACCAGGATTCTATGGTCTCCTTCAGGACAATATCAAATGGAAAACCAGTTGAACATGCGAAAACCGAGCATGAGAGACCATCTAAGAAGGCTAAAGTTTCATCCAATGGCATTCCAGACATCACGATGGCGGAAATGATGAGACTAATGCCTAGCGTAACGACTACTGGTGACGGGCCCAATGGGAAGAAAATAGAAGGGTTTTTGTACCGGTACACGAAAGCAGAAGTGAGTATAGTTTGTGTTTGTCATGGCAACTTTCTCTCTCCGGCGGAGTTTGTGAAGCACGCCGGTGGGACTGAAGTGGTGAACCCCATGAAGCATATTAATGTCTTACCTGCTACATTTTAGACTGTGTTTGAATCATAAATTTAAATAGTAATTTGTGGAGGAAAAAGAAAAGAAAAAAATAAAAATAGAAAGTGACAAAAATATAAACAAATTTTTTGTCTCTTTTTACTTTCTTTCCTCAAATTCTTACTTAAATTTATGATCCAAACATAACCCTAAGTTTAAGCAGTAGTGGTGGCTTTTCACACCTTTGTAGAATGTTGTTGTTAGGTAGGAAATGAGGAAGCTAAGTCATCTTTCTATAAGTTTCTTGTTTGTTTGTTTTCTTGGCTGTAAAGAAACAGTTGTAAGTGTCGATCCTTCACAAGCAATTTTGTGAAGGTTTATTTTTTCCCTTTTTCCTACCTATTAGAATATATTAAGGTAGAAAAGGAGAAACCTAGGGTTCTTTCTTCTTCTTTTCTAGGTTGCAAGGAAACTCTTGTCAAAATGTGAATCCTTCCCATGCAATCCCATGCAATTTTGTAAAGGTTTCTCTCTCCTCTCTCTCATATTTTTTTGTTGTAGCAATGTAACAACCCCACCATGCCTATTATTCTACACTTAATTCATGATGGAGATTTGAACTTTAGTTGATTATGGAATTTAATAGCATTATTGTGTCTGATTCGTATATGATTTTGTTAAGGATTTATTTGTGAATCAGAAATTAAAGGCCTAAATAGTTTAAGAAAGTATAATTGATAAGTTGAATCAATTTAATTTCATATATTGAATCATATGAGAGTTTAAGTAAATATTCGATTCGGTTTAGTAAAATTAAGATTTGATTAAATTGAGTCCTAATTGGAATTAATTAAGTTATGAGATTGAGAATAGTGATTATTTTGAATTAAATTTATTTGTAATGTGTCTAATTTGTATGTGTAATTTATTAATAGAAATTTTGCTTCAAATCAAAAATTGAAAACTTAAATGATTTGAGAAATCAAAATTGATGAGCTTAATAAGTTTAGTTGAATATCGGGAGCCTTTTGAGAGTTTAATTAAAAATTTGATTTAGATTGGTAAAATTAAATATGATAAATTGGGATTTAATTGAGATTAATTAGACTAATTGAGTTATGTGAGAATTGATTAATTAAGACTAGTGTGGTTAAGTGTGATTTAATCAAGCTAATTGTGCAATTAAGAGGTAAGCTAATTTTATTCATGTGATTAATTGTTAAGTAATGTGTAGAGGAATGTACCCTTGTGTAGTGTGTGTGCACGTGTTGCATAGTCAAAGAAGCGAGGGTGTGTGTACATGTATATTGTACTGAGACTTTGTTAAGTCAAGAGTGGGTTAAGTTTGCTGAGTGTGCTGGAGAGCTTACACACAGAGAGAGAGAGAGAGAGAGAGAGAGAGTTGAGTGAGAGATGGAGAGCTCATCTTAGAAAAAGAAATTTACATTTGTGTTGGAAATTGGAAGAAGAATAAGAGACTAAAGGCAAATCAATTCTAATTGTTAAAATTAAAGTTTAAAGTATGGAATTTATGTTCAATTTATTTAGAATCTCCATATTATACTTAGTATGAGAGTTAGAAAAAAATATATATCAATTTATTGGGACGAACTCAAATAAGGTCTGGCAATGGGCTTACCCAAACAAGCAAGCCCACCAAATAAATATCACATCTCCCATCTATATAAATGGAGGGAATCCCAAGGAGTAAAAACGCTCTTCATTTTCTTCATCTTCTTTCTCTTAATGCAGTGACTAACTTTATCATCGGAGTGTCTCCCGCCAGCAATCCCGGTTAGGTGACCCGACTATGTTCATCTTTGAAGATTTACAAAGGCAAAGCTCATCTCTTTGTTAGATTTCTATAATCCATGTAAGAGGATTTTTCTGGTCTCACAACTGGTGTCGTCTGTGGAAAACGTGTAAAAGAATTCAATGAAGAGCAAAGGAAACACCACCCTTAAGGAGCTCGGACCAGTGTACTATCCACAGCTGGGTCTTTGTCTTCTCCCCTTTATTGATTACGTTTTTTATTATTCAAGTTCAACTTTTATATATGTATATGTATGTGTATGTCTATATATTTGCTCATAGATTTTGTGGAATGAATATCAATTTTTGTTCTGGAAAGTTGGACAACAAGACAAAAGTAGTAGATCTGCAATTGGGTCTTGACACTCTCTAAAAAATCTATATTGTTGCATAGTGTTATTTATTGGGAACTAATTTTTATTACCTACCTTTCCGTGGAGCACTCCGATGGATACAACCAATTCACCAACAATATATATATATATATATAACTAGGTAAAATGGACAATGTGGTAGTACTTTGACTTGCCGATCAACATTGGTAGTACAAACACCGCTGAAATGATGCCCTGAAACAAAATTTGAATTGGATGGATTTGAGCCTTTAAAGGTGACGGGAAAGAAAAAGCAGTTGCCATATGTGGGTCTTTAAGTTTCAAGTGTTCAAGCTGATAACCTGACTTGCCTGTCGTGAAAGAATGGAAATTGATCTGGTTAACAAATCAAAAGGGTTGCTGATTCAACAAGCAGTAAAATGATTCTGGCTTTAAAATTTCAAAACCTTTTTCCTACTTTACCAATTCAGAGTTCTATACAAGTTAATTCAGTGGGCATGCATTGGGCTCATCATTAAGATCCATGCAAAACTCTCACTTATTTTCATTATTAGGCGAACTGAAATTTTGGATTGTTGAGATTTACTGATAAACAATTGCCACAGATGTCTTGCCAGTTTTAGGAATCAACGTAGGCAAGCTACTAAATCAATTGCCAACTAATATTTCAATACTTAGTTTAAACTATGTGCCTTATAATTAATGAACTTTGTTTCTAAAAGAAAAAGAAGGCCATTTCAATTATTTTGTTGGACATTTTCAATGTCTTCAGATTGCCAACATTTTAAATCGAATGGATTGGAAATTGGATTGAAATTCTGAAACCAAGGGGGAAAATTCATACATCACGAACAAGGAATTGTATCGGTTGTTTCATTTGTTGATATTCTTCAAGAGTGTTGTCCTAAAATTTAATTCCTTGATGTACTAGTGCAGGCTATCAATTTGATTATGTATTTGATTGGAGAATTTTGAAGTATCCTCAGATTGGTGCCAATTCAAGACAAAGGGTCAGTGCTTGTATGTTGTAATGTTTGACTTCAAATTCTGTTTATGTATTAGTCTATTGCTCGTGTCTACTTCAGCAAGCAGGAGCCAAACCAGCTTTAAATGCTGGACCATCTGGTGAAAGAGTGGAAAGGCCTTCAGGTGTGTTCTACTCTAATCAGCATGAGCACTACCATGCATGTGTCATATCACTTCCTATTTTCTAAATTATTTTTCATATTTCTTTTAGAACTTTTAGATGGTTCACTTGCTGTGCTTTGTCACGTGTGGCTCCACCCATGACTGTCTATTCTTCAATATGAAGCTGACGTTTTTTTTGATATTAGCTGTCTCCAATCTGACATATATTGGATGCATAATGAATAGACAACAACCATTAGTTGATTTCCAAATTTGTTAAAGAGAACAATTGAAAAAGATATGCGAGTGGTGTGCAATCTACAAACTTGTGCCAAACCGAACTAAACTAAGTCTTGTGTCCCAATAAGGTGGGGTCGGCTACATGAATATTTTTTTGTCATTCTGCTTTGTCATTAAATAAATTCTTGCCATTTTTAGACTTGTTCCAGTTTGGGGAAAAAAGAAGAAAAAAGGCCCGTCTAGGAACCTGACAGCCACCTCCGTTCACCCCTCCCTCCAGGCTCCAGCCCCCTCCCCCCCTTCGGCAACCACCTCTGGCCATCCTCCCCTTTCCAGAAACTCATGAAACATGCTTTCTTATTTTTTTTTTTTTGTGATTTGAAAACATGTGTTTATCAAACAAGAAAAGAAACAAAATCACGTTTCTTATTTTTTATAAACAGAAAATAGAAAATTGGCAGCATTAGCAAATGCTACCTAAGGTGGCCATAAACACATGTATAAAAGTTGTCTGTCTCGGAGATTGTGCCGTATAGGTGTGGGTGCACATGTATAAAAGTTGTCTGTCTCGGAGATTGTGCCGTATAGGTGTGGGTGCTTTTGTAGCGTAGCTTATTTTCGCGGACAAAGCAAGGTTTCCGATAGTATTGTCAAGTTTGAACTACTGACTATCAGACTTGATCAAGTTTTCATGTGTTCACAAAGTTCTGATCTTTAGGTTGAGCTTATAGCTCGTAAAGTATTTCCTGTTGGGCCTTGTTTGGTATCATGTTTAAGGAGTTATATTGAAAAATGGACAAACAGATGTCATATGGAAACAAGCTTTCCAGACATTCTAGAGAATCATTATTTCAGTATTCTTATAAGTAAATGGTTATGTTGTATAATTGGAAAGACATTTGCCCTCAATGTAGGAGATATGGGCCTAAATCCTACTAACCATATGATTCTTTAAAAACCTTAATATGTTCCCTCTTGACATTGGAAAAATGAACCTAGAAACCTTAAAGTCGATAAAATAATAAGAGAGAGCCGGTGGACATCACTAGTTTAAACATAAGAGTATCTCCAACGGTTCACCAAACTTTTCACCAAATTTGAGTAAAAAAATCACCATTTTCCCAATTTGGTACCAGATGCTCCAACGGTTCACCTTTCACCAAATCTGTCCCAGGACAACCGGTTGGTCGACCGGCCGGTCGACCAGAGCGGAAATTTTTTTTTTTTTGAATTGTTTGAACTCTTTTCGAGACAACCGGTTGGTCGACCGGTAAGCCAAAATTTTTTTATTTTTTTTTTGAATTGTTTGAACCAGAAATGTTGAACTGTTTGAACTTTTTCATGGACAACCAGTTGGTCAACCGGCTGGTCGACCGGTTGGTCTCCCCTAATGGTCATGTACAGTGTTTTGGTGAAATGCGAAGCCTGTCCTCAGTTTGATGAATCGTTTAGTAAAATCTCATATTGATATCGATTTGGTGCAACCGTTGGCGCACCAAACAGTAACTTTTTCATCAAATTTAAATTTGATATCAAGTTTGGTGAACCGTTGGAGATGGTCTAACACACCTGAAAATGTGTCTTCTATACTTGCTGTTCAGAAAAATTTTAAAAATGTTGTAGGACTGTTGATTCCAATTGCTCTGACCCATATCATATTAAAATATGATTATTTTACCAAAATAGCAATAGATAATTTATGGGTTGAAGTTATCTTAGTCTTTAACATATGTTGGCTTATTTTTCCTACGAAGGAAAATATCATAAATGCGAGCGTACTGGCAAAGATTGAAAAACCCTTACAGATTAAATTCAAGCCAATTATCAAGCGATTGCGTTGACGGTTCTTTTGCCTCAACAAAGAGAACTTCAAAATTGCCAAGTGTAGAGAACAAAAAAATTAAAAGAAGAATGAGGGACGGAGAAAGATGATTGAGTGAACAATCAAAATAATAATTACTTATCTCTACTCTTATGCTTTGAAAAGAAAGTGCATAAAATGCTTTGAAGAAAATGCTGAAAATAAATGCTTCGAAATATAAATCTATGTTAAATTACTCTTAAGATAAGGAAAATGACAAGAAATATTGAAATCAATTATTTTTTATTTAAGTTTTGGATCTTTTACAATATAGCCATGAATGGCTATTTAGGAAAAAACTACCTAAAACTACCCAATAACCACCTAAAACTATTCACTCTTCCATCTTCATTCCCACAAAATACCACATATCCCTCCATGTCTTCGTAACTTCCTTTAACCTCAAATTCATGTTTCATGTTCTCCACTTTGTCCTCCATGTTCTTCTACATTATGCTCCATGATCTTCTACATTTCTCCATTATTTTTTCACATATGTTTAATGATTCATAACTTCCAAACGAGTAGGAGAATGCCACATGTTCTGCAATTTATATAAATAATAAAAATTGCAAATTTATGGTACCAACAACATCCATAGAAGATTTATTTTTTCTCTGGAAAAAAAATAAGAGAAAGGGTTAAGAACATAATGAGTCTGACTAGTTCCTATTAAATCCTGTAATCATCAAACGAATAATAAATTACACATGAGTATTAGTCGTTATCACATAAAACACTTAGAAGTGGTATTATGGCATTTCCACAAAAAACAGAAAAATAATAAAAAAAAGTAGTAAAACGGTTCAGATCTATAAGACCCGATAGTCGTATAAATCATAAATTGTGAAGTGAACTGCAAATGATAACATTCATCTCTGACAAAATAGATTTATCTATTCATTTGCATCGATCTATACATGAATCGTGAATCATAAGATTCTGACAACTATGTTTTCATAGATGCCACTGATTTGATTGTGAGAGTTTTTAGATAAGAAAAGAGTTTTTGAAATTGATAACTGTTAAACTTGATGTATGGAAAAATAGAGAGAATGAAATATGTATTGATGATTGATATTATTGATTGATGTATATATTGTGTATATTACAAGGATTTATATAGGAGAGGATTTGGGAGTAGGTGAAGGTGGTAGGTGGAGTGGAGGTGTTAGGTGGAGTGGGTGGTTTACTATTTACAATTGGAAAAATAGAGAGAATGAAATATGTATTGATGATTGATATTATTGATTGATGTATATATTGTGTATATTACAAGGATTTATATAGGAGAGGATTTGGGAGTAGGTGAAGGTGGTAGTGGAGGTGGTAGGTGGAGTGGAGGTGTTAGGTGGAGTGGGTGGTTTACTATTTACAATTTACATTTTACATTAACAATAACAAACGCACTTTCAGAAACACGTCACTATGATAGACTCTTGGGTGTTGCAGTGCAGCTTGTATCTTTTTTAAATATAGGAGAAAGAAATTTGTTCAATATCTCATAGATTCAAATGCTTGCTCTGTGATGAGTTTAGTGGGACAAGAGATTCGGGATAGATTCTCAGGTGCGGTGGAAGCATTTACCAGAAGAAACACATCAGGTGTTAGACTGCATGGTGATCATTCCAAGCACAAAGCATCAGATGATGTCCCATCTTCTAAGGAAGTGGTGAGTAATGTGAAAAATAATTTTGTGTCATTTTGTTTATTGTTTGCATTTGTTTATTCTCATTTATCGTTGTTTCTTTGGTTGGCCATCGCTTTTATTTGCATAATCAGAACTGATTCACGGTGTGCTTATTTTTGGTAGAGTTTAACGCTGTGTTTAGTTGGGGGATTTGAAGAAGGATTTGGAGAGAGAAAGATAAAAGTTAAGTAAAATATAAATAAAATATACCTAATTTCACACACTTTTTTTCTTTCCTTTTCCAAATCCATTTCCAAATCTCCAACCAAACAGAGCATAAAGGTGCCTTTGTCATTCCTGGCTTAGAATGTGCTCGATTAAAAAAAAATTATAATAAAATGTGAATAATGTGCAAATGAAGATCAAATAAAATATAAAGTAGGGTATAGTATGCTTGTCAATTTTGACTTCTGTTCAAATGTGTTTGTCAGTTTGCATTTGTTCCCTGAATTTTCATGGGAGTCAGAATATGATTTTGGATCACTATGAATTCAAGGCTTGGAATGGATTGGAATAAGAAAGTGATTATCAAACTAAGAATCTGATTTGTTATGAGAATCACACATTTCTTTAAGGATTGTTACCCATTAAGAGTTTTTTTTTTAAAAAAATTTGTCCTCATAATATTTAAAATTCTGAATTTTTTGGAAATTGAATTTTTTGTTTTTCATGTTTTTTATTTTTATTTTTAGTGAATATTTTTAAAAAATTAAGTAATTTTTTTACTCTTTTAGATGCACATCACTTAAATGTATTTAAAAAGTAAAAAATATTTATAAAAAAATAAATTAAAATTAATAAATACACAAGAATAGTTTTTTTTTTGTATTTTTGGTATTTAGCAAATTTTTTAAAGATTTTTTTCACAAATATTATATTTTTTAAGTGTTTTTATGTTATGTGTATCTAATAATTAAAAAATAAAAATCGTTTAGAATATTAAAAAATACCAGTGAAAACAAAATAGAAAAAGAAAACAAAAAATTTCAATTTTTTAAAAAATAAATTCAGAAAATTACAATTAAACAAGGTTTTTTACCTATAGAGAGTTCCCAACAAAACCAAACACTCAAATAGTATCGACGCAAATTTTATTGCTAGTTATGAGATTCCTATTCCCCATCAAGTTTTCTATCATCCAAACATTTTGTTGACTGGCTTTCCCCAAAATTTGTTTTCCCTTTCTTTTACCCTTCCCCTTTCTTACACTTTTTTTTTGGCAAATTACAAACACCTCCCTCGAAGTTTGGTGAAAATACAGATTCTTCCTGAGGTTTGAGAAATTACATCCCGTCCCTTGAGATTTATATTTCATAACAAATTGCTCCCTGAAGTTTTTATTTTCATACAGATTCCCTCCTAATTTTTCCTAATTTGTTATGAAAATTTGACTCTCAGGAGGCAATTTGTAATTTTTCAAACCTCAGGGAGAATCTGTATTTTTATCAAACCTCGAGGGAGTGTTTGTAATTTGCCCTTTTTTTGGGGGGGGGCCGAGGCGGGGCGGGGCGGGTAGGGTATAGTAGGATATATAGCAGGTTTAGAGTAGACCATTTTTATTTCAAGTGTCAAAAATGATTGTCCATTCTAGGCCCATTTTTAATCATATACTAGTAAATCTCTTTGGGGGAGGTATAGTAGGATATATAGCAAGTTTAGGGTAGATCATTTTTGTTTCAAGTGTCAAAAATGATTGTCCATTCTAGGCCCATTTTTAATCATATACTAGTAAATCTCTTTGCATTGTTATGAAGAGCATTCAAAACTCTTTTAAAAGTGAAACTCAATTGTCCCATGAGTATTCTATATACATTTTTAATGTTTTGATGTTATTTTTTGGATTAACATTCATCATGTGCCTAAGAATGTGCCACTACAATACGTTAAGTAATGTTTCAAAAGTAGTTACTCAAACAAAACAGTTAAAAAAAATTATTGCACTCCCTTGTTAATCGACAATTTAAAACCTCTCTGCTCCCTGCCAACTCGGATTCCAGTTCATCCTGCTAAAACCTTTTTGAATTTTTAGGATTGATATGTCAAAGTCTGCAAATTTACGCACATATATGGGATATATGCTAATGAATTTGTTATGCATCTTAATCAGCAACCTGATTCAAAATTATTTATACCATGTTTTTTGGCAACAAAAATCATTTATACTTGGCCCCCCAAAATTCTTATAATTTTATTCATATGTTATATTTAAATACACCTAGTTTTGCAAAAGATTTTTTCACAAATAATCAATGATATCTTACACCATAAAAATAAGGATAAATTATAAATACATTCTTGAGGTATGCTTAAAATACAAATTGCCTCATATGATTCTTGAAATTACATCTCCTCCTTTCAAATTTCAAATTTCATAACAAACAGTCTCTTTTATTAATAAATTATCAACTCAAACAATAATTTTTAATGATATTATAAATTTATTTTAATTAATAATTCAGATAAGTTTATTTTTGTATCGGATAACAGTTAAAAGTTTTATGTTTTTACTTAATTCTATTAAATAAAAAATTCTAACAATAGAATATTTGTAATTTTACAAATCGTATGAGGCAATCTGTATTTTAAGCAAATTTTATGGGATATAGTTGTTATTTACCCTAAAAATGGTTAAATTACAAATAAACTTTATAAAATTTACTTAAAAGACAAATTGCTGCTTATTAAGAAATGTTTGCGATCAAGCTTCATATCTTGTAAAATGTATTGCAATTTTTAAAATATTAAAATAGCAGTTTTTGCTTAGGCAGATAAAATGTTGCCTGCCTGCAATAAAATTTTCGACTAGATTAGATCGTAAATAGCTTTTATTTACTTATTTATTTATTTTGTGTTTATGAAATTTTCTTGCATGCCTTACAGGGTAACTCTATAATTTTCTTGAGAATTCATCGTGTACATTACAAATGCTTAGGAGCAAAGCTTAATTTATTTATTACTAACGGGTGGCACATGCGATACATGTATAATTCAGAAAACTAATAATAAAAATAAATAATAAATAATTTAATATCATAATATGTATTTTGCTTAAGTGATAAGTATGTTTTTAATGAAACCAAAGGTCTTGGGTTCAAAACTTACTTATGTTATGTATAATAATTTTTTTATTTTAACATATATAAAGTTGTCACGTGGCATGACACTACAAGAATTAACACTTTTGGCAACAAAAAAATTGGTCACTAAAAGTCAATTTTTGGTCGGCAAAAGTTATCTGCGACCAATTTTTTTGGTCGCTACTTTGGTCGCCAATTGAGGGTCGGCAAAAGTAATTCGCGACCAAAATTTTGGTTGGCCGGCAAAAGTTGGATTTGCCGACTAAATTTTTGGTCGCTAAATATTTAATTACCGCGACTAATTTATTTTGTCGCCAAAACACTTTGGTCGCGAAAAGTGATATTTTCCCGACCAAATTTCTTAGTCGCCAATTGTCACATTTTGCGACCAAAAAGTTTGGTCGCCCATTTTCACATTTCGCAACCAAAAAATTTGGTCGCCATTTGTTACTTTTCGCAACCAAACCTTTTGGTCGGCAAAAGTGAGATTCCACGACCAAGAGCTGTTTTGGTCGGCAATAGATGTATTTTTTGCTACCAAAACTCTTGGTCGGCAATTGTCATTTTTTGCGAAAAAAAATTATTTATTTGTCGCGACTAATAAATTGGTCGCCAAAGCAGGAAAACAACACACCTGTAATTTCTAATAATTCATTCAATCCATAATAAACCTATAATTTTAAAGCATCATTCAAATTAACTGAATCATTAACATTAGACACAATACATAATTCATTAACATTCGACACAATACAACTATTCTAAGTTTTCATTCACAAGTCACATCCATCTAGCATAACAATTTGAAACATAACTATTTGTTATCCATGCGCAGCTATCAACAAATAAAACTACTAATATTTGTTATCCATACACATCCATCCAAAAATATTTAATCCTCCCAAAAATGCTTATACTGCCAAGTAGTCTTGTACAATTTAGCTTCGTGAACTTGTTAAGAAATATGTTGGGGAGGGTGCTCGTCTGATTCGTGAACTTTTGATCCACTTTTCAATGATGGCCCCATCGATATTGTTTTAGCCACTTCAAATGTTTCTGGGAACAAAAGGCCAACAGAGTGGTTCAATGTCCTCATATCAGGTGAATATCCAGGTAATAGTCTTGCAAGCAAAGGTGAAACAGCAGTCCTTGCTGTAACAGTGTCAGAACTGAGAATGTGAGAAGCCGAATTTACCTGTGCACGAAGTTTAATAAGTTCAAATGGAGAGCTTACAACTGATTCCACGGCACCAGCTGCAATTCCTACCATAAAGGCCTCAGAGACATGCACATAATTGTCTTCTCGACCATCTGCAAGGACAATATGCATATTACTACTTAAGGGGTTGAAAACGAAAGGTTGAATGTTTAGCAAGAGGACAATCAACTATCCTTATTAATTGGATGTTCAACAAGTGTATAATCCACTATCCCTATAAAAATGCAGTAAGTCATTCATGCAACAAAGTCAAAAAATGGCTTCCTACTCTCACAATGCACAAACACACCCACACCACATATACATACACGCACACCCACACCACATAACTTTGTGAAGCACCCTTATCTTCGTAGTATAGTGATGAGAAACCCCTGACTAACCATACATAAGAAAAAATAACTGAAATCTAATCATCATCAAAAAATGATTTATACATAACTTTTTTTAAAAAGCCAAGAATAAAAAATCAGCTCAAGAATGCAACCAATCATCAGCCTCAACCCAAAACTCATATATGACAACCTCCTAAATATTGCATTCCTCTGTTAAGTGCTCCAGAGAAAGCGAAAGGAATTGATCATGGGAATCATTGTCTAGAGCACAAAATCAAGAAAAGAATTTGAAGTAAAAAATAAAAAACACATTAGCCACACCAAACCAAGATCAAACCTAGGACCATAGTTGAGCAAACTAGTGGCAAATGAGAAAATGGTCCCACCAGCCCTCTCGTAACTCCGCTCATGGACATATCAAAAGCATTTTTCTTATTTACCTGATCAATAGGAAATTTCTAACATGACTGTCAAGTGAAAGAAAGCAACTTTTGAAGAAATATGGGTGCACCATATGTTGGGTATCTTAGTGTAAAATTTAGATTTTTTTATCATGTGTCCAGCAATTCTCATTTTGCCCCATACAAAGCAGGGAGAGTCAGGGGCAACCCTAAACAATAAAAACTTCCAATTATTCACATCTCTCCAAATCAAAGGACCAATATAAGAACCCCATCCCCTGAGGCATATGCTGAAACCCTTCAGCTTCTCTATCTTCCTAATTGCCATTATATATCAATATGAACTACAGTATTTTTTAGCATCTTTATGATCCATATCAAAACATGTGCTCATATCTGAGTTACTCCTGCTGAAACTCTCATACATAAGAACATGATCTAGTTATATGTCCTCAACAGTGCCATATCACAGTAACAGAACAGTTACATACCCTATGAAGCCCCATCCCCAGGACTCAGGAACATAATAAATCAGGAACAGTAAACTACATAATTCATGAATAAAATAGCTAATAATTTCAGTCCTGTTCATCTCAATGACTTTGAGGTTGACACTAATCAAGAAAAGCCATCATAATTTTAGAATGCAAGCAAAATGTATAATTCTGGAAATGACTACAATAACTGCTAGATTCTAAATACATAATCTCAGCCTGCTCACTGGATAATCAAGGAAATGGCTACACAATTTTCCACTTTATATAAGTTGTGAAAGTATATGCATCCAAAATTCAGTGATGATAATAGGTATTGTTTGGCAATACTTTAATTTTATGTAGATCCAGACATATGAAAGCTTACATAAAAAAGAAACAAGACCTACAGAACTCTTGAAATAATAATGAAAAACATTTCATACAGAACTCTTGAAAGCTACTTAAATTGTTTAAAGATAATGGGACAAGCAAAAAAACCACATGATCTCAAACTTTATTAACTCTATTGAGAAATCAAAACCAAAAAAATATGTTACAAGACAATGCAATAGCAAGACAAGTGATCTGGGAAAGGTTGAGCTGTGTTTGAGAGATACTCCAAAATAAGGCGCATTCACCTTTATGTGTGCACAATCTCCAAGATTAAAAATGCAGCTGTCAATTTTGGCTTGAGTATAATGACATTTTACATTCAAAATTATTTCATCCTCCTTACCAGCGCTGCAACAATGAGCAGGCACAATATTAAAGAGCAAAGACAGAAAAGGGAAAAAATAGTGGAAAACATTTAAATGAGGAAAGAAGCCACAACAAAAGCTGCCTAGGAGATAAGTTCATAGATTGTCACTCACTTTAATTTCCAGTTTTGGCGCTTAGATCTTTGACTCTGCAAACTCCAACAAATTCATTCTCAACATATGGCAGCCAATTAGAGCAGCAAAAGATCCTCATGCAAACCAAAAAGATAATAAACCAAGCTTGAAAATTGGTGACCATGAAAGCACACAGAGAGGGGGTGTAAGGACATTTTTCCTGCTTCTTTTCCTTTTCCTTTTCCTTTTTCTTATCATTTTCTTTCTTTTTTTTTTCTTTTTTTTTTGTGCCTCCCTTTTGTTGGACAAGACAAGCATGATGGTTCAACTAGGCCTATATCAGAGATATAATCTTTCCCAATGTTGTGTAAAGCAAACTAAGGTGATCACCTATGCGAGAGGTGAGGCAAGCCTATGGTGCCTCAAAGGGGCTTAAGCAAGGTGAAGTAGAGAAGCATGGTGCAAGCAAGAAATGTGCTAGCCGCATCTTCGTCAGTCGAGAACTCAACCAAAGCAGTGCCACAAAATAACCTTTTGTCTGCAATATGGCGAGGCATCCTCACATTATTAACCTGTTACGAGCAGAGTAAACTCAAATCAGGGCATCATCTGTGGATGGGAAAGAGCTAGCAAGAACGTCACAGGGACAAACTATAATTTGGTGTAATCCAAACTTGCTCTCACACAATCAACACCATCTGACTTTATACATGCATACTCCCTATTTCACTGTCTGTTATCCTCACTGGCACATATATACATGAATATATATTTTGATGATTCCTTGTACTTAGTCACAATCATTATACACCAATGGAAACAAACTGAAAGCAAGACTGGTTTCAAAACCAAAAGTATTAGGAGATTCTACAAAAGGATAGGCATGCTCAAAAGTACTTAAATTATTGAGAAAAAGAAAAGAAAAGGAAGGGGAAAGGGGGTGAAACCAATACCTTGGCAAACTGACCAAAGAAGGATTCCACATGTTCAAGCTTGACATCATACTCTAGGGGTGATGCGGCAATTGTCCTACTGTCTGATTGTTCTATGACCTCATCTGGTGGCAAAAGCTCAGTAGCCCTACCAATCTTCTTACCTAAAATGCACAACCAATATGTAATTCTGCTCAATATCAAAAGAAATAAAACCAAACACAAGCTACAATTCTTAATTTTCTTTTCCACATCTTCTCAGCATCCAAACAGGGCAGAAATATAAAAATTTTCAAAACTCACCATCTTCAGAAACCTTAAGAAAAGTAGAATTCTTTAAAGTATCAGCCACAACTTTCACTGTATCATCTGAAACCTCTTCTGGTTTGGAGATTCCTAAATTGAGATGACTCCTCATACGAGAGAACGAACATATAAGGGCCAAACTGACCACTGAGGTTTTAGTCAAAGAACAACAGAGAACCACACAACAACAGAAGATACTGACAGTGCAATAAACCTTTTAACAGTGCAACAAAACTTTGTAAAAAGAACTAAAACCCAACATCTTATGCTGTTTAGGTATCTAAATACAAAGCTCTATGAAAACTTTTTCTCTTTTTTTTTTTCTTATTCACTTTTCAACATGTACAAAGCTCTATCCAAATACAAACATGGTATAAATTTAACAAACATGGATCTGGCATTTTTAACCAAATGATAAGAACATTTACATTCCAGTTGGCATATAGATTCTATTGTAGTCAACTTTCATATCATCCAATTCACGTTACACCCTTCTAGCAAACTGATAATATCAATAGTAAAACCATGGATGATGAGAATGATCAGTGGATGTGCATAATCATGAACATCCGCCAAAATGTTACAAAAACTATCAGAAACTGAATAAGATAGCTTAGCTCATTCACTCCTAAACCAACCTTGGAGGCATTTCCTAGCTACTGGAAAAAGAACTAATATCTGTGCAACACACAGGAAAGAGAAGACAGAAGACAGTCGAAGTTTTTTAAGTCGGTGTTTACCTGTTCTTCACATCAGATGTTGTCATATGAAAGTCCATAAGTCGATGTTTACCTGTATGTAAGTCAGATGTAGTCACATGTTGGAAGGGAAACTTCCCATAATATGAAAACTCTTTTCAATCACGAAATCACTAAAAGGAGGAGGTTTAGTAGTATAAATGTTGCAGAAGATACAACCCAGTCTTGGACTTAAAATTATGCACGTCATGTGCTCGATCTAGCAATTTTTGACAATTGTTTTGATGAACTGTCACTAAACTAAAAAAGAAAGAAGAGAAATAACTCAAAAACTTCCATTTCTGTGGTGGAAAAGACTCAACAGAGACATGCATGTAATGAACATCAACTGCCCAGAGAACATATATATGCTTGTGAATCACAACCTATGCAACTATGGTTCTGCTTGGTGCAATTATATTTGTGACACCACTTAGACGACAATCCTCTAACCAAATGACTCAATTTATAAAATTTCTGAACCAAACATAAACTTGCTTAAATAGTACGTCACCTTAACCAGGTATTAAGATATTGCTCCAACTCCATCATTATAAATTTATATCCATGGCAAGTCTAAATAGCAAGCCCATAAATCATGTCATGAACTATCGACAATAACATGTTTGATAGAAAAGTTCTGCATAAAATATATAAACTTCTAATAGTTACAAACAGACATTATAAAACTCAATGGACATAAACTTCTTCAGAGCAAGGTCACATAAAGGTTTTTCACCACAGTTCCAAACATTGATATTTATATCTTCAGCATCTTGATCCAGTCAACCACCAAGGTGATGCAAAAGGAAAAGTAAAAGCAAAAGCAAAAGCAATCTTCAAATGGCATCCTACAAGCAATAGAAGGGGTTGCACTCTTTCATGAGAAGATTTATCCACCACATTAAGCTTGTTTTAGCTCAAAGACACTATAATCTCCTTTTAAGTTAAAAAATGAAGATAGAGAGATCAAGAACATTAGAAACAACCAATTAAAGGTGGTCATCATACAAAACCCATCAAAGGTAATTATGCCCTAAATATATCATTACAAACTTTTAAGTTCAAAAATTATGAAACTAACCTTAATCAGACACACTTGAAACTCGTCGAGCAACAGCAGATAGGGGTGTGTATAATACCGCCGAAACCGCCAAAACCGCACCAAACCGCACCGCCAAGACAAATTCGTTATTATTTGTCAATCGAACCGCCAGTTTTTTGTAAGAAAAATGGCAAATTCTAGTGACATTTTTATCAATCCGCCAGTTTCTATTTTTCTTCCAAACCGCACCGACCCGCACCGCTATTAAATCATGTTTTATAAGATTCTAAAAATTCTTTTTTACTTAAGTTTGCTTGTTGTTCTATACCTTAGAAAATAGTATTACATTACTGCTCGAGAGAAATTTTATGTATTGTATTTGATCATTGTAGCTTCCACAGATGCTTGTAATGAACTGATGGCATAGTCGTTGATATTATCATGTTGTTGCTACACTTGCTGCATCAGAAGAAAGCTTCACAAGATGCTTAACATTACGATATCTCTCGTCTTTTTTTTACTCTTTGATTTAAGTTTTGTAATTTGAATTATATTTTTTATAAACCGCCAATCCGCCCGAACCGCCAAGGCAAATCCGCCATTATTTGCCAACCGAACCGCCGGTTTTTGATAAGAAAAATGGCAAATTCTAGTGACACATTTATCAATCCGCCACCCGCCATACGGTTTCTATTTTTCTCTCAAACCGCACCGACCCGCACCGCGCACACCTCTAACAGCAGAGGAGCAGAAAGAAGGGCGAGAGCTCACGCACACGGTGAAGGATTTTGCCCCATGCTCCTGCACCGGATCGGAGTAATAGTTTATTGATTGCTAATCAAAGTCTTCATAAACTTCTCCATCATCAGAAAGCTCATCGAATGATCGAATATCAAGCTGATAACGGAGGATTCCTCTGATTCCTCCAAAACCTCTGCAGAACTGAGATCCCTCCTGCGATTTATTGGTGACAAACTCCAAGGTGCATCCAAACTTTTTGTACTCATTATCAAACCATTCAAGAAGTGTAGTCTTATCCTGAACCTCCAATTCACCAGCGGTTCCAGCATCTCGAAAGTTACTTTGATCAGCCATAGCAGCGTAATCCAATCATTTCCATCTCCATATATAACCCACATAAAAAATCAAATTTCTCACAAAACTCATCATCACAATCGAATTTCCCCACAAAACCCTTACCATACGATGCGAGATTACGGTGAGCTAGAGAGAGTGGGCACCGATTGAGGGCACCAACACAGAGAGGGAGAGGGCGGACTGAGACACAGAGTGAGATAGAGACAATGGAGATTAGGGCTTTTTTTTTTTTTTTTTTTTTTTTTTTTTCCTGGTACAAAACGACGTCGTTTTAAAAATGGCGACCAAATTTTTTTGTCGCAAAAAAAATTCAATTCCCGCCTCTATAAGAATCAAATTTCCCTCCCAAACTTTTGGCGACCAAAATACCATATTAGTCGCAAAAAAGGTACCTTCGCCTACCAAAAATTTTAGTCGCCAAATCTCAATCAACGGCGACTAAAATATTAGTCGCTAAAAGTACAAATTTGGCGACTAATTTTTTTTGGTTGCTGAAAATAAGTTTTTGGCGACCAAATTTTTGGTCGCCAAAAAATATGTGACATTCCGCGACCAAATTTGTAGTTGGTCGCCAAAAGCATACTAATTTCTGCGACTAACTCAAGTTTGGTCGCCAAAATGTGACCTTTTGCGACCAACTCATATTTGATTGCCAAAAATAATGATCATTCGCGACTAATTAATATTTGGTCACCAAATGTCATTTTTTTGCGACCAAAATTTTTTTGGTCGGCAAAAGTGGTCGGCAAATGTGTGAATTCTTGTAGTGTGAGGAGAAGAAGGCTTTACTAAACCAATTTAGGCTTTCACTTAATAATAGTGTTTGGGAAAGTCTATAGTATATTATGTTAAAAAAATGTACAGTACATAGAAAATCAATGGTTAGGATTGAGCCACATCATTAAAAGTGACCTGCTAAACATGTCACTTTTTAATAGTTATGAGTCAAAATCATATTTTTTCATAACTATAATTAAATTGATCATAACTTAGTCATAACCACATTTGATAACTGACACCATTTTTTTTTATAACTAATATCACATATTTCATAACTATAATCACATATCTCATAACCACATCTCATAACCAACCCCTTTGAGTCATAATCAACATCACATATCTCATAACCACTAGTCACCTATTTCATAACCACTATTTACGTATCTCATAACCAACACCTTTTTTCCCATAACCAACATCACATATTTCATAACCACTAGTCACATATCTCATAACCAACACTATTTTGCTTATAACCACATCACTTTGATCATAATCAATATCACATATCTCATAACTATTAATCATATATTTCATAACTATTACCCACATGAATCATAATCACGTCTCATAACCAACCCCTTTGAGTTATAACCAACATCATATATCTCATAACCACTAGTCACATATCTCATAACTAACAACCTTTTTGCTCATAACCACACTACTTTGATCATAACCAATATCTCATATCTCATAATCACTTACACATATAGCATAATGAAACACCCTTTGACACCACTTTGGTCATAACCAAAATCATATATTTTATAATCACTAATCAAATATCTCATAACCATTACCCACATATCTCATAACCAACATCACATATATCATAACTACTAATCACATATCTCATAACCACACCACTTTGATCATAACCAACATTACATATCTCATAACCGCTAATCACATATCTCATAACCAAACACCCTTTGACTTATAACTACAATACTCTGCTCATAACCAAAATCACATATTTAATAATCACTAATCATATATCTCATAACCTTTACCCACTTATGTCATAACCATATCTCGCAACCAACACCATTTGCCTCATAACCAACATCACATATATCATAACCACTAAACACATATCTCATAATCACTACCCACATATAGGGGTGTAAATTTGGCTCATGAGCTCGCGACACACCCTAAGTCCAGTCGCGCCCTGGGTGGGCCCAGCCAGGCCTGAGCCTAAGCCCAACCTAAGACCCTGGGCTATGTGCTCTAGAGCTCGGCCCGGCTCTAGTGTGTTATGGAGTGTGACCTATCTCGTGAGCTCGACGAATTTTTTTTTCCCATCTGGCTCGACCCAATCCCAACGACTCCCTACCCCCTGTTAGTGCAATGGTAAAAAAAATTAAAAAAAAAATTTAAAACAGTCATATAACCGTTAATTCCACCAACAACCAATTTTATTTTTATTTATTTATATATATATTAACCCCTCCCTCCCAAGTCCTACAAATACCACCCCTCTCATTTTATTTCTCACAAACAAATCTATCTCTCAAACTCTCATTATCTCTGAACTCTCAACTCTATCAATTAATTTTGAAGTGTCATCCCTAAGTGACAATTGCAATTGATCACCTATCTCTATTTTAGATTTATTTTTAGTCATAGTATTTTCATTAAATATAATAGAAATAAACGATATACTTTTTAAAATATCTATATACACTTGTAGACATATATATATATATATATATAATTTAACTAAATTTTAATAAAAAAATATGTTGAAAAAATTATCTATGACGTGATTTTATTTTGTTCTACTAAATAAATTTTCTCCTAAATTTTTTTCCCCAACTTTTCTTCATTTTTTTTTTCTCTACTCTATTTTCTTTCCTTTGATTTGTCCTAGCTGTGCTTGAGCTCTCTCTATTTCTTACTCAGACTTCTCTATTTCGCTCAAATTATCAAACGACCATTGTTGATAATTCTTCCTTACTAGATTCTTCCTCTCTCTACTCTTGTGTCTCTGCAATAGATCATTGAACTCATCACTAATCTCTTTATCTATTTCAACACTATTCATTCTGGTGATAATTCTCTATTTAGTAAATGCATCTATCTCGAAACTCTAACTCTTTCACATTATTATGTCATACATACACAAAGCTTTGGCCGTAGTTATGATTTGAAAGGTTTTGTTATCATCAATTTGTACATATGTTATAGAATTGTTAAAAAATGAATATTATGCATTTCGTTATACTATTCTACTATCTCAGTCCTCTTCATCCTTCAAGCATCTCTCTCATTCTTTACTGTCATTGTAGATATCTCTGATGTTTCTTATCGGAAACGACAACACCTTTGATGTCATTTTCACAGGCAATAAACCCGTTCAGTCTCTCTTTCTCATATTCCATTTCCTCTCGTTCTACTAGCTAATCTTCTCTAACTCTCATTTTATGTTCTATGGCTTTAAGTCATTGATTAAATTATTTAATGATTGTCATTACATTTTGTTTTCTCTGTATTATGAGAGATCCCGATTGGTGATTCTAAGATTTTTAGTGATTTGTTTAGTCATTTTATGATAATTGTTATGAAACTTTGTTGCTTGATTACAATATTTGTGGTTTATAAAAAATTTAGATATTTTTGCTACATCAATTAGTTGTGTTGTTATGCATTTTGTGATTGATGTTATGAAATTTTTTGGATTGGTTATGACATTTGTGATTTGTAAAATTTTTGATTATTTTTATTATGCCAATTAGTGGTGTAGTTACGCATTTTATAGTTGACGTTATTAAATTTTGTGAGTTGGTTATGATATTTGTGGTTTTTAAAATTTTTGGTTAATGTTATGAAATTTTGGGAATTAGTTACGACATTTGTGATTTTCTATAATTTTAAAAAATTTTGTTACGCCAATTAGTGATGGTGTTTTGTATTTTTTGTTTTATATGACAAAACTTTGTGACTTGATTATGATATTTGTGGTTTCTAAAATTTTAAATATTTTTGTTACGCCAATTAATGGTGCGATTATACATTTTGTAGTTGATGAGTAAAATAGTCTTTTTTTTTATTAATTTTACTTAATAAAAATAGATGAAGGATTTATATTTTAAAAAATAATAAGTATAAATTGACAAAATTATAAATTAATAATTTATTTTATTATAAGACTTTATTCATAAATGTTTTAATTTTGTTTTTTTATAATGATTATTACATAATTCTGGCTCCATTTTCTCCAAAAATTTGGAACAAGCATCCAAATTTTGTCAAATCAAAATTTCCTCATTAATTGTTTTGACAAATCCCTAGACCCTTTCTTTAGCCCAAAGAGAGAGAGAGAGAGAGAGGAGAGAAAGAGAGAGTAATTTCTGGACTTGGGGTGTGCCGCGAGCTCGTGGGCCAAATTTACATCCCTATATGTGAGTAATGGTTATGAGATATGTGATCAGTGGTTATGATATTGTCACGACCCAAACCCGCCCCTATGGGTTTAGCACCGTAACCGATCAGTAATCCGAGATTACCGAAGGCCTGCTTAACAGTAATACAGTAATACAGAGTACAGGGGCTGGCGGAAGCCAAGACAGTAATAAAAGATATCCAATGAGCTGTGATAGTGTGTATGCAAAAAGACTTTTCATACATATTCACATTCGGAAACAAAAGGTAGTATGCACATACATCATATACAATCATTCAGGTTAGGGACCAAGTCCCTACCATAACAGTACAGTACAAGTCTATACAGTCTATACAAAACAGGAATAGAAAAGGGGGAATCTAAAACACCCCCAAGCAGCCTTAGCTTGGTAGCACTTGGAACCTCGCAGTGAGGCACGTTGGTTGGCTTGACAAAAAGAGAGTTTAACCCAACGCTCCTAGCTCCGATTCGGTGCCTGGACACCTACATATATATATAAACAGTAAGCTAAAACCCAGTGAATAACATATGCGTAAAGAGATTAAGAATTAATGTCCTTTTAGTATTGAAAACAGTTATTTATTAGTATATCAGTCATTCAGTTTGTGGCTCATATTTCATGCCATAACAGTCATTCAAAAACTAGAATAGTCATATGTGGTACATCTAATAGCAAAACAGTACAGTAGGTCTTAACAGACCGAACAGTCAGTTGATGGCCATCATATCAGTAAACAGTAGTGGTTCCAAACATGGGAACCGACAAAGATCTCTGTGACAGTAACAGTACAGTATAGTAACAGTAAATTGCTATGGATGCCACGAATATAGTTCGCAAATAGGACAAGCATTCATTCAGTAAGAAATATCATTTCAGAAAGCAGTACAGTTGATCATTTAGAAAATATTCATGATTGAATATATCTTTACAACATTGTTACTCACAGAGTTCTGGGCTATAGATAAGCTAGAGCGTCCTCGGATGCCAACCCTACACAGTTATAGAATGAAC